AACAAAAAAAAAAAAAAAAAAAAAAAAAGATCGATAAGATCTACAACTTAAACAAGCTGTAAAAACAACGACAAACATTTATGAGACAAATATTTAGGAAAACTGAATATCTGTTGGACATTTGATATTAAAGAATTATTTTGTTTTTGAGTTGGAGTCTCACTCTGTCTCCCAGGCTGGAGTGTAGTGGCACACTCATAGCCACCACAGCCTCAACCTGCTGGGCTCGGGCAATCCTTCCACCCCAGCCTTCCAAGTAGCTGGAACTACAGGCATGCGCCACCGTGTCTGGTTAATTTTTTAAAAAATGTATTGTAGAAACAAGGTTTTGTCAAGTTGCTCAGGCTGGTTTTGAACCCCTGAGCTCAGGCAATCCTCTCATCTCGGCTTCCCAAAGTACTGGGATTACAGGTGTGAGCCACTGTGCTCAGCCCCTAAAGAATTGTTAATATTGGGATTTTTAAAGATATGATGATATTGTGTTTGTTTTTAAAAATAGCCTTTATCTTTTATAAATACATACTAAAATACTTATGGATGAGATGTCTGGATTTTGCTTTAGTATACTTTGGTAGAGGGGGCAGTGGGAGAATAGAAATAAAAGATTAGCTATGAGTTATTTGAAGTTGGTGATGGGTACATAAGTTCATTCACTATGCTATGTATTTTTTGAAAAATTGAAAGCTTAAAAAACAATTATTGAAGAAAGTGCCACATCCCTAGAGGCATAAGAATTCTGTCTTCCTGGTAATCATCTCTGGGTAAAATAGTCATGTGTTCCAGGTCTTCGAAAGCAGTTAAGATTTTCAAATATTTGACCTTATCATCACTATAAGCCACTGAAATGCCCCAGAGTTTAATAAGTAACAAAGTCTTTGTCACACTAGAGGTATCAAATCTTAATTTGGAAAAGTTATCACGCAATGGACAAAGCTATGGGGAAGCAACAGCAGGAATTTCTGTCCCAATAAACTTCATATAATAGCTTGAGAAGGATTTGCCCGTTTTGTTGTTATTAACACCCATATCTGCCTTCCTGTTCTCTGCTGCAGACTCTCCACCACCAACAGGGGCAGATGGGATTTGCCAGTGGGAGAGAAGCATGGACCACTTCCAGATAGACCATCTTTAAGGTCTGATGTATACATACTGCTAAAGGATGACTGTAGCATCCAGTACCCTCTAGGGATGATGGCCTTGGAAAATTTTCCCTTGCTTTGTGTCCTGGTTTCACTCTATTCCTTATTCTTTCTGGATCTTTATTCACCTTTATTACCTCCCAAGAAGGGGTCAGGGATTATAAAAGGATAGTGCTTCAGGAAGACGTTTATATATATATATATCTCAGAAGATATAAGTAGCTCCCCTCATTTCTTCCAATTTGAAACAAAGGTTGTAAAAATAATTATTGGCATCATGATTGGGAGTGGGGGGGGTGGAGGTGGATAATATACTCATCAACTATGTTTATTTCTGGATTTCACTTTTTAGCTTTGGATATATTGTCATATTGTCAGTGTTAATAAGCAACAACTCTACTCCTTTTCCTAATTTATTTTACCTTTTCCATTTGCTTATCATTTCTTCTATGCCTAGTTACTATTAAATATGTTGATTCTCCTTCCTGTCAAAATCAGTTGGAGATACTGGTTTTCAGCTTACTAAAGTATATAGGTAATAAAATAAAGAGGACACACTTTTATTGCTACTATAACTCTATTGCTATTACAAGCTCTAGAATCGTGGAATGGGCAAAGAACATTACCACTGAGATCAAACATTTATTCTACTTTGGTAACTAAAAGGCAGAAATGAGGAATGAAACAGGTGGGCCATTCACAGGCAGGCCTTAAGCAAAAATATTGCAGAAACATAAAACATAGCAGGCATCTGCCAGAAATGAATTAGGTCTTGGGAATGGTCTTATACTTGAACTAGGATCCCACTACCCTTTCTGGTGCTTTGAATTTATTCTTAAAGGCATTTCTAGACACCTTCTTTTTTTAAGCAAGAGCCTGTGCCATAGCAAGTAGCATTACCTCCAAGACCGTTGTATCTGTCACTCTTGAAGCCTCAGAAATTTTAATCATTATCATCTGATGACTGGAAAACAATCTGCCTGCTAATGGATGCTGACCAACTGCCTTCTAAAATTTTTCTAATTTACCTCAGTAAGTTCTGCCCCTTCAAAAAATAAATTAAAAGTATACTAAGAATGTTACTAGATTTGGCTCCATTAATCCCTAGACCACAGAAGTGGCAAAGTGGAGAAGAGAGAAACACTTTTATTTTTGGTCTTTTTATTATTAGTCTAGCAACTTGGGGCTTCCACTCTTTTTACTTGTAGATGATTAACCTATTGATGATATCTGTTTGCTTTATATCTGATCCCAATGATGAAAACCATTCTAAAACATCAATAATTAGTTCAGTTAAAGACCATGGTCCCCCCAGTCCCTAAGACAGATCTTATAAAGAATGGGAAAGTCTTTTGTGGACATCAATTGACAGCAAAAAGATAAAAAATTAGTCTCTATCAAGCTGGACAGAAGGTAGTGTCAGGTATGTAAAACCAAACCTAAAACCTACCTCCACTGCCCTTCAACCAGAAGAAATCATTCCCTCTCCTCTACCCCTCTGTGATATAATTCTACTTTTTTTTAAAGGACATATCCCCTAGTTCCCACCTCCAATAAATACCAAGTCTAAATTATTCTCCACGCAATTGTTCAACTTTTTCACAAACTCTGTAACAAATAGTGATTTACCCTGAGATAAATAGTGAACAGAGTAGGGACTTTGGAGATTAAAAGCTACAAGGCAAAGTGGTCCCAGTATCGAAACGAAAATATTCTGCTGTGATTCAGGAACGAAGCAGGCAAAACATATAAAGTCAAGTTGGCATGTGGAAGAGGAAGTATTTGTGATGAGACTGGGACATATTGAGAATCTTTTTCTTGAGACGAGGTCTCACTATGTTGTTCAGGCTGGTCTTGAACTCCTGGGACCCTCCCACCTCTGCCTCCTAGAGCACTGGGATTACAGGTATGAGCCATCACGCCCGGCATATATTGACAATCTTAGTTGTATTATGCACAGATGTGTGCTCAGGAAAGAAGGAGTGCAAGGCAGCCTTATATTTCAGGGAAAACGGTGGGATTGGGGATGCCTTGGAATCACCAATTGAATCAGAATTCTTTACTCCTCCTTTCCAATCCTCCTGTAGACGTGGGGCCAAGGTCTGGCTTCTCTATATAGTACACTAAGGGAAAACAGCAGACATGAGGTGGGCAAGAGCCATTTCCCAGCCTATAGTTTGTCAAGATCCTTAGCACTTCCTACATTGAGGCTAGAGGCCTGGATTTCTGCTGATGCACCCCCAACCTTACTTTGTGTCCTATGGTCATCCTCCCTGGTCCACCCTCACTACTGCCCACCCTGAAGAACACAAAGCTTTTTAGTTCTTTGCAACAAGATAATTAAAAAACGTGGTTTCTTTGTTTAAACAGTTACTAATTTAGATCGTCTTTTAGTAACAGACTTCCCCTCCCCTGGATCCCCACTCAGTCTTGTATGATCACATCCTCCTCCTCCTCCTCCTCCTCCTCCTCCTCTTCCTCCTCCTCTTCCTCTTCTTCCTCATCATTTTCTGGCAGTTCCTCCTCCTCCTCTTCATCATCTTCATCTAGACAAACTACCACCTCAGCTGGCTGAGGTAATCTAGAGTCAAACCAGTCTAGTACCTGCTGCGCACTAAGCCTTGACGCCTGACTCAATTGAGGGATGTCAGTTTGCCGTAGCTGTTGGTGGGCTGCCCAGTACCTCTCCAAGGGTTGTATATCTGGTGGGGGTGGAGGAATCGGCCGAAGTGGTGTCTCAGCCTTTTCATTCATGGAGCGAGTTGGTGGTGGTGTGGAAATTGCTGAATCTTGGAAACTAGGGGCACCAGGTACTGCATTGTCCCGAAACCATTTTAGTTGCCCATGCTTCAAAGCATAGCGTGTATCACCAAACCACTGAATGATCTCAGGCCGAGGTAAACCAGTGATCTGTTCTAATTTGTGGTAATCCTCACGCCGTGCCCATTGGCACTGTAAAAAAAAGGATTTGAGGATAGCCAGCTGCTCTTTGGTTTTGCGCTTAGTCTTTCGCTGGCGTTGCATATCTGGAGAAAGGTACTCCGTGGGGCCGACCCTACCTGGTACTGAGTTATGCCGTAGTCCTTGGGGCCAGGCTGGCTCCCGCTGTGGGGGTAGTGCCTGTTCACTGGGAGACTGTGACTGTGGGATACAGCCTGGTGGCTGGAGGGGTTTAGAGGTGGCAGTAGCTCCATTAGCCAGTACTTGGAAAGAAGAAGAGGTAGAGGAAGAAGAAGGAGCCACACTAGATGCCAACTCCTCCTTACAACTGCTGGCAAGTACTGAGATTGGTGGGGGCTTATCCCGAGCACGTGGCTGGTGGACAGCTGTGGAGTGGTTCCAGGAAGCAGTGCCTATACCATGTGACTGGCTGGGACCCCTGCCTGCATGCTCCTTAGAGAGGCCACTGCTTTGAAGATCTTGCCAAAAATCTGATTGGTGGGGAAATGCTCCACTGCCAGGTGTCATCATGGATTCCTTTGCTTTCTGGTGACTTTGTGGCAGTGATGGTATCTGAGAGGATTCCTTGGGCTCTATTTTCAATCCTTTCATCTGGTTGGGCTCACTAAGCGCCAGAGGACCTATTCCAAGACCAACTTGTTCTGGAGGTGGCACTGGAGAAGGCGGCACCTCCTCTGGAGGCCGTCCTGCGTGATGAGTAAAAGAGAGAAGGGATTTAAAATGGAGTTGGTCCCGGTGATAGACCACTCGGGCTCGAGTCTCTTCTATTTCTTCAGATGACCAGCTAATGCCACAGCGGAGGCGCTGGGCCATAAACCAAGTCTTGACTTTCTCCATCTGCAGCCCATAGCGTAGGCAGAGAAGGGCAATATCTGCTAGGCTAGGATAAGGAAAGTAGCTGAAGGTTTGTAGCAGGTGTTCATTGCCATCCAGCTCACTGGTCTGGGCTGCTTGAGTCCACACAAGCTGTAGCTCCTCAGAGATTGGAGGAAGGCAGATGAGACCCGTTGGTGAGCTATTAAGACTGCTGGCCTCTTTATTAGGAGGCATGGTGCCTTCTGACTTATGCCCTTCAGAGATAGCTGAAATAAGAAGAAAAACAGCTTAATCATTGGGGCACGTCTTCTGGCATATTGTTCAATTTCTACCAAACTAACCTTACTGCTGAACACCAAAACAATTGAGTTTCTATTTGTATTGTGTTGCATTGCTTTTTTTTTTTTTTTAGTTGAAGTCTCACTCTGTCACCCAGACTGGAGTGCAGTGG